GTGCCATGTGGCCAGTTATACGCATGTGCTTGTTCCACGTGGCCAATTAAATGCATGTGCCTGTGCTGCGAGGCCGATCACACGTGTGTGCCCATGCCACATGGCCGATCATACGTGTGCCTGTGCCGCGTGGCCAGTTACACGCATGTGCCTGTGCCGTGTGGCTGATCACACGTGTGCCCGTGCCGCGTGGCCAGTCACACGCGCGTCTGGGCACGTGTGTGCAGGGCGCAGCCTGCAGGACTCTCCACATGCCTGCAGAGGACCCCGCTCTCCCGCTGCCACCCGGGTGCAGCCCGAGGCCGCCCCAGGCTCTCAGGCCTCGCTGCCCCTCGCCGGCCTGGGGGAGGAGCTGCTCCCTGGCCCCCGGGCAGCGAAGCGTTAACGCCCTGCGGGTCCACGGCCTCGGCGCTGGCGATTGGCCGCTGCGCCAGCCAATGGCGAGCGAGCAGCCCCACCCCGGGGCTGATGGACAGGCCTTGTCTCTATGCCTCGCCGCAGCCAATCGCCGCCGCGCTGTGCTGCCGCCATCAGCCCCGCCCCAAGCCCCGCCCACCCTGGCATGAGCCCCGCCCCCAGCTCCCGTCTGTGCTCCCAGCTCCGCCCCTGTCCCTCACCCCTGGAGGCAGCCCCCACACCCAGCATCCTTCTGCGCCCCCAGCCCACTGCCCCCCGCCCCAGCTCCCCGTCTGTGTCCCCCAGGCCAGGCCCCCAGCTCTCACCCCTGGAGGGAGCTCCAGCCCCAGGCTTCCTCCACGCCCTGCCCCCCACATGGGGCAGGGTCTCACTGACCCCCTCTGAGCAGCCCCGACACACTTGGGTGCAGCCTGGGGAGTGCAAGCCCCATCGCCTGCCCCAGGGGTCTGACACCACCCTGCTCCCTGCTGGGGGGAGAGGGGAGCGCAGCCCTTAGAGTGTTCCAAAGAGCAGGACCCTGCCACCCAACTCACCCCTCTGCTGCCTTCCCCACACAGGCATGGCCCTTTCCCCCCCAGGCTGGAGCCCTGCAGTCAACCCCCCCCACACACACACCAGGAGCCCTGCATAGGCACATCCTCCCGCAACGCAGGTATGGCCTAGTACCCCGCAACAGAGGCACAGGCCCCCACTCCGTTTTGCTCAGCCCAGAGCAAAGAACAATATAAACTGCTCTCCCCGAAACAACCCCCAGGGTCGCAGCCTGAGCGAAGCACACCCCAAAAGGCCCCCTTCTTCCCTCTCTCAATTGGTTTCCCTGTATACCCCACCTCCTGTCACTGCGCACACCCCCCAGCCCCCCACATTTATACCACACCCTCACCTCCTTGGAATCCTCAAGGTCATGGGGCCGGGCGGGGACGCAGCGTGGGATATGGACATGTAGGGCAGCACCATGGTGGAGGCTAGCCAGCAACCAGACCTGGAGCAGAGCCCTCCTCATTCACCCTGCGCCCATGGCACCGAGGAAGCTGGCAACAGGCTCTGCTAGCCAAGCTAGCCACGGCCGGACGAGCAGGGAGGCTGGAGCTCGGGCATCGGGAAGAATCGTCTGGCTGGAGTGCAGCATCATGCCACCAGCTGTGCGGATGTCACCGCACCTGAACCAGCGCAGGGAAGGATGGGCCAACAGGCCTGGTCCCATCCAGCAAACTGCGTTCCCACGCTGTGTGGTCAGTGGGCCTCCATCCTGCCAGGAAGGGAGATAGGGAGAGTGCTCCCCCACCTTCTCCAGTTTGTTTCCCAGCTGGACTGGAACCCAGGCCCTGGCCCCCAAAACATGCCACCAGAAGGGCGGGCGAGCCAAGCCAGCGCCAGTTACACACAGGGCTTGCTCCAAACCCTCACGCATGGCAGCAGCTGGCAGCACCCTCCTGAGATCACTTTCCTTTCCCCACAATCCCCAGGGCATGCCCCAGAATGCAGCCCAGCTGCCAGGCTCCAGCATCTTCGCCCTTTGAGGGGAAGCTGCAGCCCCTTGCAGGCAAACCAGGACAGATCCAGAGTCTAAGGTCAGAAGCGACCACTGTGATCCGCTCATCCGCCCTCCTGCCTGAGACAGGCCATTGGCCTGCCCTGTTTGAACTACAGAATATCCCCTCTCAATTTAAAACTTGTCAGGGAAGGAGACTCCACCACGACCCTTGGTTAATTCCCCATCCTAACGTAGGCCTAATTTCCAACCTGAATTCATCTGGCTTCAATTTCCAGCCACCAGATCATGTTAGGCTGTTGTCTGCTAGACTGAAGAGCCCATTATCAAACATTTGTTCCCCTTATAGGCTGTGATCAAATCTCTCCAAAACCTGCTCTTTGTTAAGATCAGTCTGTCACTATAAGGCAGGTTTTCTGATTGTTCAGTCATTCTTCTGGCTCTTCCCTGACCCCTCTCCAATGTATCATCATCCTTCTTGAATAGGGGGCACCAGAGCTGGAACCAGGATCCCAGCAGTGGTTGCACCAGTGCCAAATACAGAGGTAAACTCACCTCTCTGCTCCTACTTGACACACCCTGTTTGTGCATCGCAGGATCGCTTTGGCCCCTTTGCCCGCAGCATCACAGTGGGAGCTCGTGTTCAGATGATTATCCACCATGGGCCCCAAGCTTTTTTTCAGCATCGCAGCTTCCCAGGATAGCGTGCCCCCTCCTATAAGTATGGCCTGCATTGTTTGTTCCTAGATATATTTTTAAAAGGGTTAAAAAAAGGTGAGACACACTGGGGTGCAGCCCTTGTAAAACAGAAAATCCTCACAGGGTTGTAACGATGGGCTGGCTGGACAATAATGACACATTATTAAAACACATGTTGTTTGCTTACGCCCAGTTTTCCAAGTGACCCAGACCACTCTGTGTCAGTGACCTGTCTGTCCTCATCGTTATTCACCTCTCCCCCAAGTTCTGGGCCATCTGCAAACTTTAGCAGTGGTGATTTGACGTTTTCTTCCAGGTCATTGAGAAAAACATTAAACAGCAAAGGGCCAAGAACCAATTCCTGCTACGGGACCCTGCTGGAAACAGACCCACTCGGTGATGAGTCCCCGGTTCCAGGGGCACATTGAGACCTCTCCGTTAGCGCGGTTTTAATCCGTTTAACTTGTGCCATGCTAGTGACACGGTCCCGTCCTGCGCCAGGAGGCAAAGGCTGTTTCCACCCACGCCCCCGTTAGCTCGGCAGGGCTTCTCCCTCCAGAGGAGCCTCCACCCAGACCGCGCCCCTTCTTCCGCCACGAGAGGCACCAGTCTCACCCGCTCGTCCGCCCCCTCTTGGCAACCTAGCTGCTCTGTCTCCTGTGCCTGCCCCAGGGGGAGAAGAGACTCCAGCCTGGCATGGATGCCGTGACTCTCTGACCCAGCCGCCCTGGTGGGGGGCAATGTACCCCAGCACACCCTGGTTTCCGTGCCTGTGGGGGCACAGCACTGACGCTGTCCCTGGCAGTATCAGAGAAGGCGGGGAAGGAGGGAGTGGCTGGGTCTGAGGAGGCTGCTCTGGAAAGGCACTGATCTCTCCCCCCGCCCCCAATGCAGCAGATTGGCATGTTGTGGCACTGCCCTCTGCTGCCAGGTCCCTGCAGTCGGAGCTGCGCCCTGGGGAGGCCATCATGGGGAGGGCTGCTTTTGATGCCTGGCGTTTGCAGTTGGCTGCACTTGGGGTGTGTGCTGTTATGATGCACATCTGTCTGTCTGTCTGTCTATCAGCGTCTGTCTGTCACCAGACACACCACCCCATCCAGCTACTGCTATCTGTGTATTGCCATGTGTCCTGTCTCTAACCGTCCTGGTTAGAGCCCGGGATATACTCCGTCATGCTCATCTATACCCCCCCCCATCTATTCCCAATTCCCCATCCACCCCTATACACTCCCATCCATCCATCCATCCTTGTACACACCCTTCTATCCATCCATCCTCCATCCACCTCCACTTCTATACACCCCACATCCACCCCCAATTTCCCATCCACCCCTATACACTCCCATCCATCCATCCCTGT